TAAATGGAGGGGGGAGGGATGTTAGGAGCAAGTATAGGAAAAGGAATTGCCAAAGAACTTATATGCATGGCCCATGGATATGAACAAAGGAGGGGGGATTGCCAGAGAACTTGGGAGTACTGGGTAAGAGGAGGGCAAAGGAGGAAAAATTTGGGACAACTGTGATAGCATAATTGATAAAAAAAATTCTTTAAGAGATGAAGATGGATTTATGTTAGTATTCCTTTCAGAGTAATCTCAGACCTCAGGTTCTGCCTTCAGTGATACAAACCTAAAAGCCTTTCCCAGCCTTAGAAATATTTCTTCTCCAATTTCCAAGGATATTTCTTTTGCTTCAGTCTCCTAAACTACTCTAAACCATTCCTAAGGCGATACTAATACTCCTCTGCTCTATAGATATGGCAGATGCCTTGGTTGCTTATTCCGCAGTCATTTCACCCTTTGTTTATATACAAAACCCCATTTTTTTTGGCAAGTCATCCTCATCCACCTGGCCATGTGCTTCACTGGACAAGTCATGGTAATCACATTCCTCTTGTCAGTTCTTGCTTAGGAATAAACATGCGACATTACTTTATGCACTAACACGTGAAGAGGAATGTATTGGAGGGTTTCTAGGAAAGACTTCTGAGAGCTGAAAAAGAGACGTGTCGGGGAAATGGTCATTCTGCTGCAGAACTGGGATAACAGTCTTGCAACCATAAAGGGTACTAGTCAAGGAAAAGTCAGCTGAGTGATGACAGCAGAGCAGAAAGATGGAAAGAACAACTTTTTTGCTATCATTAGGGCCACTGAATCATCCAAGCTAGAGTTCCTCAATTTAGGACCTAAAAATGTTCTCATTGTTAAAGCAGTGTTTACTTGAGTTTTCTAGTTTCTATTACTTGCAGGTGAAAGTATAACTGATAAAAAAGATATGTGTGTATTTTATACCCTTCATTAGATTTCATAGAAAACATTTTTGTCTGCTTTGTACCAGGTGTCAATGAATTGAGTTGAATGAGTTGGTTCCCTAAAGAGGCAAATGCATGGGTGGATAGATAAACATGCCACATCTTACTACTAGCTGCATTCCCTAGCTCAACGAATTGCGTAGCTATCCGTCCAAGTGCATAAGCCAGAAGCTTATTCTAGATGTTTTTCTATTCCCCTCTCTCCATAGCCAATCCATCAACACATTCTGTTCATTTGCCTTCTAGATTCATCTCAAATCCATTCACTTCTTTTCATCTACACCATCGTTCTACTTCAAGCTACTATCATGTCTCCTAACTAGTTTCCTGAAATTTCTCAAATCTGTTCTCCACACTACAGCCAAAGGGAATCTTTACAAAATGCTACATCCCCCAACTCTTCCACCTTCATTCCTGATTAAAGGATACAGGAAAAAACTCCAAAATTCATAAAATGTGCAAAAGGCCACAGGGCCTGGTACCATCTACCCTCTTAAGCAACCTCTTGCCCTTGATACTCTAACCACACAGATCTTATTTTGACTCCTTGATGGTCCTTGTTTTGCGCGTACTATTCTGCTTGCCTGTCAGGCTCTCCCACTGGCACCCCGACACAAGCACATGCCCTGTGTGTTCCGTCCTCCATTTTCCATGCCAGTCTTGCCTTTCCCAAGGAAGTCTGTTCTCTGTTCCTGAATAGGTGGTTCGCCCTGTTGTGCACTTTCTTAACACCAAATACCTCTCAGACATAGCCAGGATGAGGGGACACTTTTAAAAGTGAGTGGGGATACCATTAAAAATTACACTGGGACAATAGGTATAAATAGAAATTGTCCTGGGCTAAAAGAACATTTGCTCAACTGTTCTTTAAATTCACTTTCTGCTTATTAGTGCTTTCATTAAGCAGTTGCCTCCCCCAGATCTCTCTATGGGCAGAAGCATGTATTTCGTTTTGCTCACCATCACATTCTCCATGCCTAGCACAGTGCCAGATTAATAATAGATACTCAATAAATATCTGTTGGCAGAACATTGGAATGAATGAATATGGTAACTCAGTTCACATTTTCCTTTCCTATTATTTTTTATTATTCTCCTTAGACCAGTGTTCATGTAGTGTTATGCCATATTCTTACTTCTTATTTTTTAATATCTGATCATTTCGCACAGTACTGCTTTATCAATAATTCATTCATTTAATCAACAAGTACCTACTCAACATCTAATGTGTGCAGAGCATGAACTAGATGCTAGGGATACAACAGCAAACAATACGTGTTCCTGCCCTCAAGGAACTCACAGCTCCATGTGGGAGATACTCGAAGCCCACCATTCTAAGTCAGTTTTTATCACATGAATACCTAGCCAATCAGGACCAATCCTGGGCATGAAAAAGATAGTTTGACTTTCTAATTTTCTTCTTAGTTATGTCATTTCCTCCATTTCACTTCCAAGGTCAGTGCCCTCATGATTTCAATTTCTTACTAAAACCTAGCTCCAGGAAACATTCAGCTACTTAGTGATACTTTCAGATTCTGGTAATATGTTAAAAATCATATTCATGCATATCAATTTGCAAAAAAAAAATAAATGGAAATCTCAAGCCTCCTGAAATTAAGAGCTATAAGCTTAGGATCTGATCCTAAAGCTTCCCCATGGGTGATTATCAAATTTAGTAATAGCTAGTAGTAGTTTGGGTTTTAGCACACAATCAAGCTAGGATATAAGGTCATGGGTCCCATGAGACACTGAATGGGAATTAATACCCCTTCATGAAGCTGGGGTGCTCAAAGGGATGTAGCATCAGTAATGATAGGCATAGAAAAAAGATCCACTCACCCTAATAGGGAGCTGATAAAGTTTGCTGTTCTGAGCTATGGGAAAAAATACATAAATTCTCAGAAAAATAAAAATATCGGCCTCTTCCTCACGCTGTATTAAAGATAGAATGTACACTTGTGTCATGATTTGAGACTGTCAAGATCAGAAATGTATGTAAACGTTAGTCCTGTTAGACAGTGATCCCTGGAGTACCTGGCAGAAGTGAACAGAAAATCTCTATGGAGTGATTCTTCCACAGCCTAGGTCACACAGGATTTTCATAAGAAAATTACCATTCAAGATGAGTTTATAATCCAGGGTGTAGGTACAAGAACAGAAGGTTGGGTACCCAGTAATCCACAATAACAGAAGTATTATCTGAAAAGGATGATGTCTTGAGTAGAATCTCCTGGAAGCAGATTCAGAGGTAGAGATTTGTATGCAGGAGGTGATTTAGAGAACACCTAAGGAATGTCATTAAGGCACTGAAAGAAGGAACAGGCAGGAGGCGATACAGTGATACGGTTGCAATAGAAGCCTCAGCTGATTCCACAAAAGATCTCCTGAGTGGGGACGGCCCTTAAGAATATCCCAAATTGAAACAATAAGACTGGGCCTTTATATCCCAACATCAACTAGTCATTGGATGCAATTTGCCCCTGAGGAGAGTTTATAAGCTTGGGAAAGATGGACCCCTTTGGTCAAAGATAATTCCCAGAGAGACTCAGATACAAACCGTCAGTAGCCAGTGCACCCAGCAACAAACAAATGAGTGTCTTGGTCCTGGAATTGGAGGTGGGAGATGGGGACTCTGAACAGAGATCAGCATTCACCATGGTGCACCTTTGAACTGCTCGGTTCTATTTTTATTTGCAATTTGTAGTAACTTTGTCCCATTCAGCAAGAGCATCGTCAAGTTTCTGATTGGTCGCATTTCTGGAGGAATCTTATATAAGGAAGGTTAGTGGAGAAAGTTAACTGTCCTTGCTGCTGCAACTAGTTTTAAGAGCACAACCAACTTCCATAAGGAAAAGATACTGCACTTATGTATTAATCATCCAAATTGGGCAGCAGGTTGTCAAAAGATGATACAATTGTTCAGAGTGTGAAATATGTTCTTTCCTTTCTTGGCTGTGTAACAGCAGCTGTACCTCCTCCCAGAGGTCAGTGTAAATTTCCCCTGCAGGAATGATGTGTCCTTCCCCTGCGAACTGGTCTCTTGACATGAAGAACTCTAAGTGGCCCAGTGGCAGCAATAGTTTAAAGTACGGTGGGATTCATGCTGTACCCACGGGTGGAAGGAGTCACCCTCTGGGAATCGGGGCTGCCACCACAGGGCCTGAAGTTGTGGGGACAGGGAAACAAATTCCACAAGTGGGTCATTGTGAGTGATACAAATATAAAGAGACAGAAAATAGAAAATAGTTAAGAAACATGGAGGATAGAATGTAATATTCTAATACATATGTAATATGAATAAATATAATATGAACACTTCAAAAAAGGTATAATGTGGGAACAAGCAAAGTAAAAGTATGGGTGGTTGAAAGCAGAAAATAATAATATGGTGAAAATAAAACCAAATGTGTATAATCATGATAAATATAAATGGATTAAACTCAACAATTTTTAAAAAGGCAGAGATGCTCAGATTGGATTTAAAAAGCAGTTGTATAAGTGACACCTAAACATAATGGTACAGAAAGACTGAAAATCAAGGAATAAGAAAAGGCTTATAAGACAAATTCTTAGGAAGAGAAAGCCATTGTGGCTGTATAATATCAAACAAGTTGCTCTTTAAGCAAAATAATTTCATGCATAAAGAGGGTCATTTAAAAAAAAAATTACCAGGAGGATACAGGGTTCTGAATCTATGTGCACTTAACAACATAGACTCAAGAAATTCAAGGGTTGGTGGCAGCCTACCTAAAGATTTACATCTTCCAAGAGTTTTGCATTTCCACAAGGCTCAGTGCCTCAAGAAAATAAGATCAAATGTAAGAGAGTGGTTGTTGGATTAATTTAATTCTAGCTATTCAGAAGCAAGGTTAATTTATAAATACACTCTGGAAAGTGATTAAACAGATTCTTTTTATCTTGTTAAGTTTATTTGCCAAGTACAGCTGTGTTTATGAAGTTGAAGTTTTGCTTACTGGTTCTAGAAATTAAATTGAGTAAATGATTTGTGGAATTGAAAGTTCTTTCATAAAGAAATCTAAAACTTGAGCCAATTGTTAAAGATTCATACATCAAGGTATACTTTACAGGTGAGTTTCTTCTGAAACTGAAACAACTTTTGAGCACTTTGGACTGGCTGACAGTTCCGTAAGAGCCAAATTCTGGAAATAGAGAGGAATGTTTAAAACATTAGTTGTTTTGTATTTTTGTTTTGTTTTATTTGCTTGGCTGTGAAAATTTTCTTTAATGAAAATAAATCTGGGAGGGCGGTGCCGTGGAATGGACGAAGCGGTGAGGGGATTAAGAAGTACCAATAGGTAGTTACAGAATAGCCACGGGGATGTAAAGTGCAGTACAGAACATGGGATAACAAAAGAACTTACACGCATGGCCCATGGACATGAACAACGGTGAGGGGATTGTGTGAGGGAGTCGGGGGCACTGGGTGGAGGGGGGCAATGGGTGAAATATCAGGACAACTGTAATAGCATAATCAATAAAAAGTAATTAAAAAAAGAAAATAAATATCAGTGGCATGGTTTATAGAATCCTAGTCTCAATCAAAAAGGTCCAGTCCAGGAACTAAAATTTCAACAGAACCAAATACCTGTAGTTTGCAATATCTACTTACAAAGTCAGACAGTCTGTTTTCTCTTACATGCAGATCCTTCTCCTTTATGTCTCTGTGATTTTCTCACCCATTCTTGCTTGTCCTTTCTCAAATGAAAGTGAAAGGGAATAAATTAATCAGGGCTTAAATCAGGCAGGATTTTGTAACTAGCAATACTGACAGGATGAGGAGGTGGAGAGAGAGGGGAGGGAGGGAGGGAGGGAGAAGGGAAAACAGAGAGAAAGAATGTGAGCTCCGAAGCTTTTGCAGGGGGAGATAGACGCTTTTGATGGCTTCACAAAAGGGGAGATTTGGCTGCTAAATTTGACCTTGCTCTCAAGTAATTGATGAGATGTAACATGATCATCAGAATAATGGTAATGAGCTATAGATGCAGGCTATCTGCCTGTGGAGATTGCCGACAAAACAGACTTTAAGGCAAAAAGCATTATGCAGGCTAAAAAGACTCATTACATAACTTTGTGTTAGGAAAGCTTTGGTGGGGTTATTCAATTGTGATGAGCTCAGTTCTTCCACAGCTGAAAAGCTAAAGGAAATTCAATGGGAAATAATGGGGGAACTTAAGCTAGATTTGGTGGCGATATCTGAACATCAAGTATCCTCGCCCTCTGTCATCCTAAAAAGCTGAATCTCACTGGTGCCTCAAAAACAGGTGCAACCTCAAGTTCATTTTTAGGCTGTTAGTTACACATTTAATGCTCCTCCTCTGACACTTGAAAATGCCAAATATTTTCCTGGTTGTGGTTTTAGAATACATTAACTTCATTCCTGCTTTCTTTGTATTCTTTCTTGAGAATTTTCCTTTGAAGAAGATTTTTGTGTTTTTATCTGCAGTGATCTGACTGGACATTTTGCAATTAAGGCATCTCATTTCTGATATATGTGGGGGTGGGCAAAAGTCGGTTTACAGTTGTGATACAAATACATAACACAATAATTAATAAATCAAAACACACCAATAAACTGTGTTTCGCAAACTCACAACTATAAACCTACTTTTGCTGACACCTATAGTTTGCCTTCTTAAATGGGATTTCGGCCATGCACCTCTGAAAAGTTCTGCCTCCGGAATTTTGGTTTACCCTTGTGAACATTCTCACTGACATTGGAAGTGACTCCTCATTGCTGTTGAGTTTTTTCTCCGTTTGGCAGCAGCCTTTCTACTGGTGTTTACCTTTCATTGATTTATGGTTAGTAGGTGACCAGTCCCTTCTCTTCTGTCACTTACAGGCTGACCTCCTTAGTTGAGGTTTTTCTAGAATTGGATCACAAGGTATAAGCACAGATAACCTTGTAAATTCAAAGGGTGGTTCCATTGCAGGGAAAGTTTTACAACATCAAGTTACTGGAACTTGACACTAATGAGAATTTAAATATACAGCCCAGTGCTGGATGTCTCAGACTGTGAATGGTTGCCACCAATTTAGGTTTGTAAACCTGGGTCTGTGACATGTCTCTTTTGAGACCAGTGGCCTTTAAATTCTGGTGTGTATCACAATGGTGCAGCATGGCAGTTAGAAACAGGGACTTCCAGTCTGTGTTTCCTCATTATGAATTTACCTAATGTTTTCTCATTCTTTTATTCAGGAATATCATTCAAGTGATGAAGTCATGCTGTGTTCCTTTCAATGTATTTGATCAGATATTTGCAGCTTTTATTTGTCCCACTACTCATGATATTCATCTGGATCACTTAATTAAGGTAGAATCTGAAGGATTTTTCCACTGTAAAGCTACTTTTTTTTTGCCTTCATGGTTCATAAATATTTTGTGAAGATGTACTTTAAAGCTATGTAAATATCCTGTTCCTCATCCAACTTGCAATTAAACATTCTTTACTTATCTCTGTAAGAACTTGTAATGTCCTATTTTATTCACGAGTTATAACATGCTAATTTAACTATTTTGATGCACAAATTACCACCAATTTTGCCAGTAGCATCCCCCTCAAATTGACTTGATACATCCCATCATTCTTGGAGCACATCCTTGCTTTTGGCACAAGATGTTTTGGGCTCATCTTATACTTTCCCTGCCCTGTCCTGGAATCAGCCATTTCTCCAAGGAGCCCTGGATCATTTTAGTGGGAAATGAGAATAGAAACTAAGATCTGGGCACTAGGTATACTCCTTACTGTTGGTTTTTACAGTGGACAGAGCTGAAGAATATATGTTACATTTAAAACTCTTTCCATATCTATCTGTTTATATTTAAAAACCATGAGTCAGTCATACTGATATCTCCCATTCCAAACCAACATCATGAGGTTCATTATAGTGTTTTTTCCTTCCCATATTGGATAAAGGGGGGAGCGTTATTTTGTCTATCATATACACTCTCATTTAATTCTTATTGAAAATCTTATGACTCAGGGGGAAAAATTGCCAGCCTGATGTCTCATTACCCCCGAACACTATAGCGTGTATTTCAAATGGCTGATGAAAATATTCCCTATACTCTACTTGGAACTTTTCTGTAAGTTTGTGATTGTTTCAAAAATGTTTAAAGTTTATGCTTAAAGTACAGGCAATGGATCCATAGACTATGAAATACAATCGTATTCCTAGTGTACCTGGTAATCTCAATGAGATAAAGGCATTAATACATTTTCCAAACTGGGGGAGGGGAGAAGAAAAGGGTGAGACAGGATTTGAATCTATAATAAAAAGAGTAGAAGCTGGGAAAGCTGACTCATGCTGCCTTATCTTTAACAGCCTAGGCTGGTAGTACCCAGTTGCAATCTTCAGTGTGTCACTTCATTCATCATTCACATATGGCCCTGTGACAGGCATCCAGGCCTGAGGGCCACTCGGGAGCTGTGTGATCCTGATTAACTAATCAGCCATCTTGGCTTGGACACAGCTCATCAATAGAGCGGAACATATTAGCCTAAAACTAGCCATTGGATGAATTTCTTAAGGCTTATTCAGCTCCCTCAATCAGAGAAAAACAGAATGAAATGTGATGACTCACTGGGACCTTACAGATTCTCAGGTCCAAGGCCCTCGCTTTACAGACAGAGAAAGCCAAACAGAGTGGTTAAGAGTTTAGACAAGGTTTCCCCTCTATTGTGTGTCAGGACTCAGAAAACACTCAGGTTCACATACATTTCATCAATGACAAGTCAGAACTGACTGACGTGCTCACTGACTTTCTTGCAAGTAGTGATAGACTTTACCAAGTGGCAGCGGCAGCTCCCTTTATCCCAGGGGATTAGGGTTGGGACCTGTTTGTATAGTTAGTCAAAGTTCGAAAATCATCAAGAGTGGCACAAAAAAGTGCCCTCCTCACTTCATTTGGACTCTGACTCCCACGCTGGGCCACTCCCCTGCGTGGCCACGCTTGCAACCTTGCGCAGGCCCTGATAGCCTATGTCAGGCCCCTCTACTCTACACCAGCCTCAGTCCACTCAGGCGCTGACATCCACTGTGGCTCCCCCTACCCTCTTCTTTTGGACTAGCTGCCAACCTTAAATATTTTATTTGATATCAGTTTTCCTTTGTGACTGGATCTCCTGATGGGAGTTCCATGGTGCTGTTCTTGCATGAGCCTCAGTCATAATGCCTCATCTCTGATTTTTACTTTCTGTTTCTTTAAAGAGGAGTGGGAACTTAAAGATTTTAGTCGAACAATTTGAGTGTAAAACCATTCTAGATGTTAATTTTTTTTCCTCCCACTTTTTAACGTTGTCTCATCCACTTAGAACACAAAAGCAATTTTATTAGACCTGTGACTTGGGCAAGTTCCCTTAATCTCTTTGTGACTCACTTGTCCTTTTTGAAAGATGAGATGCTACAGGTTTATCTTGCATTTTCTCTGCCCCAGCTCTGAAATGAGGCATTTCTCCAAGGAGTCAGGCTCCTTTGAGTGGAGAAGGGTATTAGAAACCAAGATCTGGGCACTAGGTGTGCTCATCGCCATTGGATTGTTACTGTTCCCAAGTCCTCACCATGGATAGAGGCAAGGAGTATATCTACATATACATTTATTTTTATGTCTTTTTATATATTGAAAACCATGAGTCACACTGATATCTTCTAATCAAAACCGATACCACAAGATTTGTTCAAGTTTTCTTACTTTCCAAATGTAATGCCCTTCTCCAACCATAAACAATCTGGCTCTCATTATCCTCAATATATTTCTTATTTGGGCAATAGTCCTGTATGTACCCAAGTTACTATTTCTACCACCATTTTCCCCCTGTGTGTACTCTGTCACCCCCATGCCAGGTCACCTCTCTGTATAGACAACCTGCAACCCTAAGCAGGCTCTGACCCGCCCGTGCTGGACCACCTCACATGGGGACGCCCACTTTGTTCTGCTTAGATTCTCATGCAATGCGTCACTCTGCCCCGCCCTCCGTGGATGCCCTCCTCACTTCATTTGGGCTCTGACTCCCACGCTGGGCCACTCCCCTGCGTGGCCACACTTGCAACCTTGCGCAGGCCCTGATAGCCTATGTCAGGCCCCTCTACTCTACACCAGCCTCAGTCCACTCAGGCGCTGACATCCACTATGGCTCCCCCTACCCTCTTCTTTTGGACTAGCTGCCAACCTTGCTCTGCTTGCACCTAGAGCAAGGATTTTCAATCTTTTTCATTTCCTGGCATACATACACGAATCCCTGAAGTTCTGCGGCACACCAAAAAATATATTTTTTGCTGATCTGTCAAAAAAAATAGGTGTAATTTTTTTTTTATTCATACCAGACAACTATTGTTGCGTTGGCTGTTGTCATTTATTATTTGACAATCTGAGGGAAAAGAGGTCAGTGCCCCTGACTAAGTAGTCAGGAACTGCATGTTTTAAAAATCCTTGCAGCACGTCGGCATGTTTTTTGTGGTATTCGTGGACCTAAAGGCTGTGGAACTGAATTGTTCAGGGAGAAAAGGGGGAGAGGCAGAGGAAGAGCTACTTTTCGGTTTTTCACCCCTTCTCTGGCACAATGAAGACTGTCAATGAGGTCAAGAAAGCACCATTTGCTTTCAACAAGACCGTTTGGTGCTTCCTCTGAATATGTAGGAAAAATTATGTCCAGATTTATTTATTCACCCAAAGAGTTTTGTCAGCAAAAGCAATGATTACTTCTCCACTTGGAGCACCCTCAGCATTCCAATATTCAGTTGCCTTTATTATCAAGATCACTTATTCATGGATACTGCCTTCGGTTTCTTTTTTACTTGAGTCCCTTATTAGCTCAGAGGTCCTAACCTGCCCCATCTCATGGTACTCAGCTCTTTATATATTTTTTATATATCAATACATATTCTTGAAGGCCTGGGACACATTGGTATGATACAATCAGTGTGGGCTTAGAAGTCAGACAGACTTGCATTTAAGTCACTCTAAGTTACCTATCTTTAATTTTTTAAAATAAGAAAAATATGCTGCATAGTAAAGCATGCTCTAAGTGTCCATTCCCATCAAGTCTACCTTCTTGACCAAGTCTCCTGTTTGTGCATGTGTTTGTGTGTGTCTGTCTCTTTTTTCATTCCTCTTTCTTTGAGAACTAAAAGGGAAGAAGAACTTGAGGCATGTAAAAACTGATCAATAACAATACGCTGAGCAAGAAAATTGGTCTAATTTCTCACTGAACTTTAAAAGCCCATATCCTCTCTTTTTCTCAGAAGTTTGTGACACACTGAGACTTCCTGAAAAATTTGGATCTTGACAATTTCAGGACTGTCCTAAGGTCTTTAGCGTTGTCCCAACAGTGTTCTCGTAGCCAATACATACGCTGTCTTAGGAAAGGGGAGGTAGAGGTGCCTCTTTCTAGGCTTGATGTTCCAAGAGCACATTCTGCCATCCACTCATGTCAAAGTCCTTCCAGGTCCAGCTAACTTGCCTCATTCTCTCTCAACCATTCATCGTTGAGCCATGAGGATTCCCTGTTCCTTCCATGTTTTAAAGACCATTCTAAGGGAAGTAAAACCGCAAAACTTGTAAAAAAAAAAATGTATTTGCCCAGTCTGCCCCAGTTAGAGGGAAAAATCTATATTCGTTGCCATATAAAAATATTTATTCTGCTGGATCCTGCCTTATGTTCTTGTCTTTGAACCACTTCTGCCAAAACTGTACTTTTTCCTTGGTTCCTCTATTGTAATTTCACAGCAGAAAAACTGTCCTCTGATTACACTGAAGCCTGTGCGGAGAGAAGCAGAGCCTCTCTCTCCTGTGAGGAGATGGAAACTGTTATCCTTGCCCCCGTGACACCAGAGTACAATGGGAAACTGGGCCTGTGTAACCATCAGAGTTCAGACCATGGCAGAGGGGTGCAGAATTGTTTCCTTTTTGGAGGGTTTAATTAAAATCATTACTTAAAAATAAGCATTGTGACAACATCCTGATTGGGCTATTTTCAAACTGTGGAACACCTATGGGAATTCAGGGTTTCACGAGGAAAAGTGCCTCCTCTTGGTTCATACATGTGCGTTTGCTAGATTCAGAAATTTAAAGAAGTCTGTTAATGTTCCAGTAATGGCGGCATTGATTATTTTATAGTTGTCTAAAAATGAAAGGTGTATCAAAAGAATTTAATATTTTGTAACATTTTAGAGGGTCATTATAATACATTCTCTTTTACTCAGTAAGGATTAAATAACCAAGTCTATGTTTTTTATTGCTGATTTCTACGATTAAAGCAAGTACATATAAGCTGAGCTGATTGCAATATAAAGAATTATTCTCTTGGGTCCTACTTGTATTCATTCTCCTTCCACATTTTAAAAACCCATTTATCAATTACTCTGCAGTGGTACCAGGACTCAGCACGCACACATCATCTTCTCGTATTCCGCTGCAGTCTTCCGAAATCATGAGTGTGCGTGCGGGTACGTGCACACCCGCCCACACACGCAAACACATATGAACACATGCAAGCGCTTATGATGGCATCCAAATATATTTATCTCTAATTACATTCTAGGTGCTTTATCGAACACAGATATCCTTGCACTCATTTGCAGAACCGGAAAAGGAGCCATGCTAATGTTTGGAGTCTTAAAGCAAACTGTAATCTTGTAACAGTGAGGTGAACCTCAGAGGCAGTAGTCTTTTGATATGCAGCATAAGTGAAATGCTGCATAATATAAAATGATGGCGCTATTAATCCTACTGGCACTGGTGGTGCCCAGCCCCCCCTTCGGTATTGATACCAACACCATTGTCTCTGGCTTTAAACTTCATCAGTATGCAAACGGAGTGTCACTATGATGGGTGGTAACTTGGTTGGATGCACTTTCTACATTTCTGGCAAATGAGTATAATTATTTTCAGAGCTGCGGGCAACTCATGCATGTTTTATCCTCCATCTGGACCGGCACGGTACACAATAGTGATAAAAGATGATTTTCCCCCTTGGATGTTCACAGGCCATCATCGACACAGTCCTGATGAAATGGCCATGTATCCCCTAGCAGTTCTATATCTGCCACAGCTTGACAACAAAATTATTTCCCCATAGTACTAAAACACTTCAAATATTCAAGCCCTCTGTGCATATATTTGTGTTTTGAAGCATTCAGCGTTAACATAATGTGGTAATTTATAAACTGACAAATTAACTATGCAGAAATCACAGAGAGGCCTTATGAGGTCTGCAGAGCAGCAGAAAAGAAAGCAGAAGCTTTTTGCACTCTGTAATAATAATAATCCTATCAACTGTCGCAGATTGCCCGGCCTCCCATTGTTAGAGCCTCGCGCTCGAAAGCTTGCTTACTGTAGGTGATTCTGCCCGAGACGTCTCGCCTCAAACCACTCCAACCAGGAGGCTTGGCTCAGGCTTAATGTGCCATCCCTCTCCAGGTCTGGAACTAATGGGGAAAAGGGCACCAATAGAAAGACTCAAGTTGCTCATATCAATCACTGAGAGCCAGAAATGGACGTGTGGGATGGAATTTGGGGAGAGTGAGATTTGCCTCCAAGACAGGAAGTGAATTTAGGACTGGCAAAATCAATAACAGCAAAACTGAGATTATGCATGTGAAAGGACGATCAGCCTTCTTTGTTTCGTGGTTATAAAATCATTTTAATGATTAAAATCCATCATCTTGCTCGCCTGCTTTAGCAAACGCTGGCAATCCTTACAGGCCCACTATTGATCCTCAGACAGACAGCTGAATGCAGGCAGCATTCATCAAAGGATGCAAAAGAGCACATTTTCACTTTTATTGTATTAGCCTAATTCTCTTTCAGATGAATTAAAGACTCACTTTGCTAGACGAAGGGGAGTGTCTGTGTATCTTCTGCTGCCCCCATCTGTTTAAGGTGTAATTCTTAGAAGGCAGGATTCATTTTTTTAGAGGCAAGAAAGTATTAACAAATTCTTTGTGAAAATACAGAGCATTCCTTCATGAGATGGCACACCAGCCTCCCCTCCCCCCCACTGTACCCTGGTCTCCACCCCGCCTCCCGCAGACACCCCACCCATCCACACAGGCACACTTGCTCTCGTACAGATCCACACATGCATGCTAAACGCACACACACACTCACACACACGCCGTCCTTTAAATGGTATGTACCATGCTACAAGGCCTACCAAACATCAGACACTCTTTATCAGCAGTTGTGCCAGGGTCTCCATGGCAACAGTATAATAGATTTGCCCTTATTCAATCCCAGAGGCCACATTGAAGCGCAATGCAAAATTTGCTGGGGCCTGAATTCCTTTCAAGCCATGGCTCATGTGTCAGGAAACAAGTCAATGCACAGACAGCACTGCACATAAAGATGGAAAGGAACCTTTTCTCTTCACTGCTGTTTGCTCACAGTGACATTCAGAAGCTTGGGCCCTAGATCTCATTTCTGTTTCGTTTTCTAGTTATTAATTCACTTCTTTGGGTGGAGAGGCGAGTGGGGGAGGGGAGCGCCATGCTTTGCAATAATAACCCGCCAACGAAAGTGCAAAGCAAGCTGCATAAAAACGAAGCATGCATCTCAGCCTCCAAGGTTATATAGGATTCAATATGGCTGAAGCCCACCCCAGCAGCAGACTAAATTCCAGGGTCTGATGCACTCCAGTGCCGAGCATGGCTGAGCAGCCCAGCCAACTTCCTCGACCCACCCTGGAGTGGTATTTCGCGATCCTGAAGCAGCCTTCCCCAGGGAAAGAGAAGCGGAAGAATGGACACGTACCCTTGTCCTAAAGCCAATCTCGGCAGGCAGGAGGAATTCCCCGGAGCTCACACCTGATCTACACTGTGGCTAAAACAAGCACAGCTTAAAAGTTAAACAATCATTTGTTTCAGGTTTATTTTAATCATTAGCTTTGGGACTTACAAGATGATTACTTTGTGGGTTAATTATTTTCTGTGCTGTGGCTTTCCAAACCTAATTGCTCAACTTCATTATTGCGCATAGTGATCCATAGCTGGTTCCTAAAATTACCTGTCCAAATATTTTCCCCTTTGATTATATGGTGAATTTGCTATTTTTCTCCCTGAGCTGGAACTTCGCATAGATGACTTGGTTGCAAGATGCTTTTGTGATTTTGAAGATTACTAGAGATATTATGGGCCTGTGATAGAACTCAACTGGCAATACTACCAGGATGTGAAAGAAGGCTTTTAAGGGGCCTTTGCCTGGGTGAAGCCTGATTAACTTCAGGACCGTGGTTTTTACACTTTACCAAGTGTAAAAAGCACCAAGTATTATGAAAACACAATTTCTTGAACCCCATCTTCAGAGATTCTGACTTCGCAGGTCAGGGCCAAGACCCGGGAGTTTGCATTTTTAAATTCACAGGTGATGCCAATGCTGCCGGTCCCGAGGCCCAGGCTTTGAGAAGCTCTTGCTTAGGCCGGCTTCCATGAGTGAATGTTCCTCAGCCTGAGGCTGAAAGTTTATTTTGACGGTTTATCATGGCATCAACTTGCGTTCTCCTTAAAGGGCGTTCCTTATCATCTTAATGTGATTGCTCCCTTCCCTCGTGGGTCAGACCTACACTGTCACCCACCGCCTGGGGCACAGACAGGATGGAAGCCGTGGAGAAGAAAAAAGTGTCAGGAGATCAGGATGCATCCTCAGGACCCACACTGTGTCTGCCATGTATTAGGACTTGATCAATGTTTTTTTGAATGAATACGTGAGAGAATAAACATGATAGAACTTCAAAGCTTTCATACTTTAGGAAAGAGATCTTAAGTCAAGGATATAAATGCTCCATGTCGTATTTATATTGAAATATATATTTGGTTTTAAAAAGTGACATGAATATTTGTTGGGCAGGGAAATTATATAGCACTTCAATTCTTCTAGGAAGTTGGAACTATTGGATGAATCACTATAAAAAGCAAAATCTTTTATAATTAAAGAATAACTCTGTAATTTATCTGTTTTTTCAAGTTTGGGAATTCGGCTGAGAAACATTGCATTTTCATTTGAAGAATCACCAATGTTACTTTTTCACAGAACAAAAAAAATAGAGGTGTGCATTTCTGCCTGATGTTTTAAATTTGCAACCATCATTTATTTATTTTCATTTCCTGCTCCTGATGATTTGGCCCTAAAATCTGGGCCATTTTAACAAATAATCATTTATAACGACAACAAAAAGTTAAGTCAATTATCACATAACACTGACTTAAAATGGTTCGGCTCTCTTTGACCAGTGTTTGATCACGTGTGCAAAGCGAGCTAGGACGTGGGGCAGTGTGGGGGGCAGGGGTGGGGTGGGAGAGAAGAAGGAATGAAAACAGAATTGCAGCGGCCTTCTTTGTGAACTTCGTTACATGAATGGATGTTAGGCAATGGCAGTGTTTTTTCACCACATCTTGCACTATGTCTTAAGTTCTGAGATTTCTCTTTCCAGACGAGGCCAAGGGCACTAAAGCGGGCAAACTCTTAGGCAGGGACCGAGCTGGGCCCTCTCTGCCCTTCCAGTAAGGGAGGCCCAGTGGAGACAAGAGAAGGGCTGACTTCTCTTCCCCACCCCGCCCCTTGCTTCTGCCCTAAAATAGCATTATCCCACATGGACTGGTGAGAAATAAAAGGCTCTTAAAATAAATCCAAATATACAGAATTGTGGAATTGTTAAACTAGATATTTGAGAGGGTGGGACTTGATGCTTCCCTTTGCCAGAGAAGGTAAATCCCAAGATCGTGCAACTTGTCACGGCAGAGATGGGACATAAACCCAGAGCCTAAACTCTAACAGAGGTCCTAGGATACCCACCTATCAGATGCTTCATCCTCCAAAGAAGGGAGGCCTGTCACCCTGGGTGAGTAGACACTCACCACCCTGCCTCGGGGTACCTAAAGGAGAGAATGAATGCAGGATGCTATCAACTTACAATTCAGCAACTGTTTCCCAAGCACCTGCTATGTGCCTAGTGCTGCACTGCACTCTGACAGCACCAGAGTGAATGGGACACAGCATTTTATTACAAGGTGGCTATAACTAGGGGAGTCTCTTTTTCATCACTTTACAGTAAGAGCTGCCCCCTCCATAATGCTTTGCAAACTGGAGTATGCCCTGTGTGCCTGAAGCACCAGATGAAACTGGTTGTTACTTCCTCAAGTTTCCATTTTCCTTGATCATTATTACTCTATTTCCTTGATTTTATGAAATTGATTTTTTTTTTTTTTCCTGATTCACACATTAAGCTTTGGAAATCTGAAAGGATGGTTCTCGTGCTCAAACTATACCTTAAATTGGTGGTCGATCTCTTTCTTTTTTTCTGATATAGACTGAGCTATATTTTAGACATGGGGAAGTAAGAGAATTTGAAGTGTTACTTTTAATGTTAAATGTTTCAAAGTACTGCACAATGTGTCAGTTTTAGGCCCTTCTTTAAAAGCTAAACAAATAGAAGACTTCAAGAAGTCTCTCTCTGTGGAGGGCACTTGCAGGTTCTACCGTCAGAATCCCTGAACTTTTTGACTTTGACTTTTAGTTCTTCTGCATTAGGGGTAGTTGGTAGGGGGTAGTGGGGGGAGGAAACGGAGACTGAGAGGCACTGGTTTAAACGATGCAGTTTTTAGGTGCCACAGTGAGAATGAGAAAAGGCCTGAAGGGAGAACACAATGCTGAGCATTCCAATTAGAACCTGGACCTGAAAACAATGAGACACCAACTCTTTCCCATGAACTGATTCATTTTATAAACATACTCCCCACATACGCCCCAAGAAAGCTGTCCTGTCATTTCCTGCTGCATTTTTGTGTTTTTCCACCTTTCCCCTTGGCTCACTCCTCTGTGACCAGCACAAGCTTCAGACCTTGCCTCTTCTCACTGCCCTGCCCGGGCACCTGTCCAGCCCCGTACTTGTTGGTAATGACCAGCAGACAGTGCCTTCTTGTGCCGAGTGGAGGGGGCGCTCCGCGGACCATTGTTTGTAGGGCCACACTGCTGTCCTTGTCACCACCCCTACAGGACACTTGTCTACAGCTCCGAGAGGCTTCTCACCCTGGCCCATATAAAAAGAAGGCCTGGAAAGTCTTCTAGGAGCATCAGTTCAGAGGTCCTGCAGCCAGCCAAACAATACGCGATTGTTCAATGGCTCCAATTCATTTTCCTCTGCTCCTCCCCCACCGTTACCCTTGAGAGAAAACTAATTTGCAGAAAAATAGCCCCTGCCAGCCAACTTCTCTTCCTAAATGTACGATGACCCCGAACTCTTGTCTCTGTGGACACCTAATTCTCAAAGTAAATGCACAAGAGTTCTGAAAAGCAGTCTGCTCCTTTAAAACCTCTCCGCCAACTCCCCACTCTGGAAGATGCTTTCTTTTCCTTTTAGTCTTGCTTCTCTTTTTAACATGTGTGCTGAAATTGGCACTTTCTCTTTTCAGTTCATTCCCTTCCTAGTATTAATGCAGGCGGCAATGGAGAAATGTGCACAATTTTTCCAGCCTCTGCACTCGGCGAACCCAGGGGTGATGGATTAAATGTAACAGGCTCTACCTTACACATCACTATTTAAGCGAAGAGCTGTGGGGCCCGTGATGCATGGTGTCATCCGGAGCGCCCGGCGCAAGCAGGGGAACAGGCTGCCTCCACTGTTGTCTGAGTAAATAATGGAGCTAATGGCATTTGGTGCAAATGAGACTCCTATAGAACATACCGGGCTGGTTGAGCTCCTTCTTATTTTTCTTTGTCAAGAAGGCTCCTCTCTCCTCTCTCTCCTCTTGGGAGCTTCACCAGGGTGGCCTGCTTTGGTTATCTGCGGGAGGAGGGAAGGTCTCAGGGAGTTCAGGATTTTGTAACCAATATTGAACGCCAGGGAGAATGGAAGCCAAGGTCAGGTTAAGAATAAAGAAAATTGATTTGGAGGTCAGGGTCACCATGTGAAAGGCCCAGAATGCTGCCAAAATATTTTCATTATCGCTGTTTTTGTTATGGAAAAGACCGGGCCCTGGGTAAGGAGGCTGAGAGGCGAGAGCCCGGCCTGGGGAGAAGGAGCAGGAGAACAAGCAGGGGATCAGGACTCAAGGATTTACTGGCTTTGAGGCCTGGAGCCTTTCTGCCTGGAATTTGCCGCCCTTGTATGAGCGTGTGGATGGACAACGACGCTCTTTCCCACTGAGCCAGGCAATTCTGAACTCTCTGTCTCTCTCTCTCTCTCTACCAGTGCAGAGAAGCTGAAGGCAGACTCTCCCAGTGCTGTTTGCAGGAGTAAGCGATTTCATGCATCACCGTGACTCTACTTTTCACTGATGCCTACAACATATCTGTAGCGTGGGGCTGTATATTTTAACAAAATCCTGTTATTATTGGAGCTCTGACCCGATTTTGTTTCTATATTCTGAAGGAGAAAAGACTCCAGTGGCATGAAATTAGCAACACATTCTGCTAGTGTGTTAATTGTGTGAGAGTTTTTGGCAGGAGAAAATCTCTGAGCACAACACAGAATTTATTTTTTATTTAAATTTGGTAGTAATTTCATACTGTGTTTAAAGTGAGGCACCATGGCTTAAACCACTTGGGATTTACTGTGCATTCAGGGGAAGAAAAAAAAAAAATCTGCCTAATGCAGTAGTGCAGAAGGAATTATGTAATTTCTTTCTTCTTCTTCTTTTTTTTTTTTTTTTATTTAGCAGGGAAGCTGCTAGTGTCGATTTCTAATTTGTTAGGAGAAATTGGCATTCCCTGGCAGTGGTTTGGGAGGTCCTTGGGCCCCAGTGCAGTATCCAAATGCAGCTGTATCTGGCCAGTAGCAGATTACCT